ATTATCACTGTTGCTGAACTCAGAACCACATCGAAATGCCTTGTTGAAAGTGTTGAATCAGGCATACGTGGCACATAACATGTCTGTCGAATATGTGAATCACTTGGCTGGAAATCTAGTTATGCCAAATCACATTTCATTCAGTGACGATGAGATTCTTTTAAAAGGAAAAAGAAATGCCAAGGCTCTGTATATCACAGTCAAGTGCAAGAGCCATATCATAGCCAAAGTCCTTATCAATAATGGTTCTGCCATCAATGTCATGCCTATGTCAACTTTGGCAAGGTTACCTATTGATTACTCTCATATGAAGGATAGTCAGATGATTGTGAGAGCCTTTGATGGGAACCAAAAAAGAAGTCCTGAGGGATATTGAAATGCCTTTACAAATTGGGCCATGCACCTTCAATATAAAATTCCAAGTGATGGATATCTCTCTATCCTACAGCTGTCTGTTAGGAAGGCCATGGATTCATATGGCAGGCACTGTGCCCTCTACTTTGCATCAAAAGATCAAGTTCAATGTAAAAGGTCAAATGGTAGTAGTAGTTGGAGAGGAAGACATACTGGTGACTCAACCATTGAACATCCATATGTAGAGGCTGCTGAAGAAGTATTGGAATGCTCCTATCGGTCTTTTGAATTGGTCAATACTATAGGAGATAGATCTCAAAGTCAACCTTTTTCAAAGATAGTGGTGAGCCAAGTCATCAACAAAGGTTGGTGTCCAGGACTTGGGCTAGGCAAAAATTTGTAGGGAATTACAGAACCTCCAACAATAGTGGACAATAGCGACAGGGCAGGCCTAGGCTATGAGACGACAGAGTGGGAAGTCAAAAGAAGGCCATCAAGAAAGACAGTAAGACTGATGTTTATCCCACACTTGTATGAAACTTTCAGACCTGGAGGATTCATGAACCCAGATGCAAGAAAAAGTGTGAAAGCTGATTTTGCCCGGTTAACCATTAATGTTGTTGAAGATGAAGTGAGGGTTAATAAAGAGGAGTGGGTTCGCCTTTGTCCACCAGATTATAAGTTGAACAATTAGAGTGCCATCAAAATGCCTTTGACTTTTGGTTTTGACACAATGTAATTGTAATATCTCAATAGCTTTTGCCCAAGGCTATGGGGTGATCTTTTTGTTTGGGCCATTCATCATTTATTATTTTTAATAAAAAATAAAAAAGATGCATTTTCATTCATTTCTTCTTATGCCTTCATTATTTCCATCTTTCAAGCACATCTTGCCAACATATCCCATTTCATTCAATTTCAGGTCTTTAAATGAACAAAAAGATAATCATGATAACAATCAAGAGGTTAGCTTTGAGAATTCAATTAATACTGATGAACTTGACAATGAAGAGAATTCTGAAGAATATGTTATACCTCCGGACCTAATGAGAATGATTGAACAAGAGAACAAGCCAATTGAGCCTCATCAGGAAGTAGTAGACTTAGTAAATCTGGGAGATGAAGAAAATAAGAAAAAGGTTAGAATGGGCACTTCACTTTCAGCTGGAGATAGGCAATGATTGACAGACCTACTTCAAGAATTTGTAGATATATTTGCTTGGTCTTATCAGGATATGCCAGGGCTGAGCACAGAGATAGTGGAGCACAGATTGCCCTTAAAGCCAGAATGTAAGCCAGTTCAACAGAAACTGAGATGGATGAAGCCTGAAATACTGCTAAAGATTAAAGAAGAGGTGAAGAAACAATTTGATGCAGGTTTTCTACAAGTGGCTAAGTACCCAGAATGGGTAGCCAATATAGTCTCAGTTCTTAAGAAAAATGGAAAAGTATGAATGTGTGTGGACTATCAGGATTTGAATAAGGCTAGCCCAAAGGATAACTTTCTTTTGCCTCATATCGACACATTGGTAGATAACACGGCTAAGCATTCGATTTTCTCTTTTATGGATGATTTCTCGGGGTATAATCAGATAAAGATGGCTGTAAATGATATGGAAAAGACTACTTTTGTAACCATATGGGGAATCTTCTACTACAAAGTCATACCTTTTGGGTTAAAGAATACTGGGGTAACATATCAAAGGGCCATGGTAACACTCTTTCATGACATGCTGCACAAAGAGATCGAAGTGTATGTAGATGATATGATTGCAAAGTCTTGTGGGGATGAAGATCATGTCACTAGCCTCAGAAAGTTATTTGAAAGGTTGAAAAAATTTCAGCTAAAATTAAACCCAGCCAAGTGCACTTTTGGGGTAAAATCAGGGAAGTTGCTAGGCTTCGTAGTCAGTGAAAGAGAAATTGAAGTTGATCCCGATAAGATACGGGCCATCCAGAATTTGTCACCTCCTAGCACACCAAAAGAAGTTCAAAGTTTTCTGAGAAGATTGAATTACATTTCTCGATTCATCTCTCAGCTTACCTATAAATGTGATCCCATATTTAAGCTTCTCCGTAAAGATAATCCTAAAAAATGGAATGAAGAATGTCAATAAGTGTTTGATAAAATTAAGTAATATTTATCAAACCCTCCAGTATTGGTGCCACCTGTTTCAGGGAAACCTTTAATCTTATACTTAACTGTATGTGAAAATTCAATGGGATATGTGCTGGGGCAGCAAGACGAGGCTAGTCGAAAGGAGAGAGCTATTTACTATCTGAGTAAAAAGTTCACGGAGTATGAATCCAAGTATTTTTCATTGGAAAAAATGTGTTGTGCATTAGCATGGACTGCCAAAAGACTCAAACAGTACATGCTCTACCATATTACGTGGCTCATAGTGAAATTGGATCCCATTAAGTATATTTTCGAGAAGCCTTCTTTGTCTGGAAGAATTGTTAGATGGCAAGTAATGCTCTCGGAATACGATATTATATACGTGAGCTAAAAAATGATAAAAGGAGGCTCTATAGCAAAATTTTTTATAGATCATGCTGTTGAAGAGTATGAGCTGATGAAGCTAGAATTCCCTGATGAAGACTTGATGACTATTTCCTAACTGGAAGAAAAGGAGCATGGAGAAAAATGTTGGAGAATGTACTTTGATGGAGCTGCTAATGCCTTGGGGCATGGAATTGAGGCAATTTTGATTTCTCCAGAAGAACAATACTACCCTGTAACGGTGAGGTTAAATTTCAATTGCACAAATAATATCGCTGAGTATGAGGCATGTGTCATAGGCCTGCAAGTTGCTATAGATAGAAGAGTGAAAGTACTGACAGTGTTTGGAGACTCAGCTCTAGTCATATATCAATTAAAAGGAGAATGGGAGACGAGAGATTCAAAACTCGTTTCATATAATAAGTACATTCTAGAGCTAATGAAATAATTTAAAGATGTCCAGTTTGATCACTTACCTCGGGAAGAGAATGTGATTGCTGATGCATTGGCTACTCTGGCTGTAATGATTCGAATTAATACCGACATTCAGCCCATCAAGTTAGATGTTAAGGATATACCAGCATACTGTTCTAACGTAGAGGGAGAAAAAGATGGAAAGCTCTGGTATTATGACATCTTACAGTATGTCAAAAATCAACAGTATCCAGTTCATGCAACAGAAAATGATAAAAGGGTCATTCGAAGATTGGCTATGAGCTTTTTCCTGGATGAAGATGTCCTGTACAAAAGAAGCAAGGACCAAGTATTATTGAGGTGCGTAAATGAGACTGAAGCGAAAAAAATCATTAAAGAGGTGCATGATAGAATATGTGGGACACATACTAGTGGACATATGATAACAAGACAGATCATGAGAGCAGGATATTACTGGTTGACTATAGAGAACGATTGCATTGATTATGCTCGTAAATGTCATAAATGCCAGATATATGCTGATAGGATTCGTGCTCCGCCATCTGTTTTACATGTTATGACACCACCATGGCCATTTTCAATGTGAGGTATGGATGTCATTGGTCCAATCAGCCCAAAGGCTTCTAACAGGCACAGATTCATTTTTGTGATGATATATTACTTCACAAAATGGGTAGAGGCAGCATCGTATGCAAAT